GCATTCTTTGGAAACTAACTTACAAAAGATGTTATGCTAAAGGAAAATAGTGGTCACTGTAAAATTATTCGTATTATTCTGAATTTATTAGCTGATTAGGAAGTTGCTAGCACTTCAAAGCTGGGTTACTTTTTCCTACAACAGTTCTAGGATTTGTCCGTTCAAAAATTTTCTTCTGTAGATTGACCAGACAAGAGGTTTGCATGCAAATAGGCCTTGAGGGGTATTAATGCTACTATATGGCATTCCTTTCAGTCTAGCTAATTCCTTCTTAAATTCCTACTTAACACAACCAGCAGAGGAAGCTTATGAAGATGTTACTAAAACAGCCTCTGTTCCTAGCACATATAGGCATCTCTAAGGGGTGAGAGGAACAGGCTAAAACTGTGACATAGAAGCAACATCCCTCAACTCTTTCAAAAAGTATTCAAACTGCAGATTGCCCTATTATTATATTTATTTCCATATATAAACTGGTCCCCCCACTTTTATTGGACTGTACCAGAAGGGGTATTCAGCAGGTTCTAACCAGTTCTGGAGAACCAGTAGCGGAAATTTTGAGTAGTTCAGAGAACTGGAAAATGCTACCTCTGCCTGGGTCTGCCCCCATCTCTTCTCTGCCTCCCATTGAGTCCCAGCTGATTGGCTGGGTCTTCTTTGGTTGCCCTGCACAGGAGAACGGAGCTGGAAAGCAGGTTAGTGGGGTGGGGATAGAATGGGGATTTTGCAGTATCCTTCCCCTGCCACGCCCACCAAGCCACGCCCACAGAACAGTCTGCCAGCAGAAATGGTGACCATACTTTAGTGTGGAACACCTACCTCTTTTGAGTCCATTTGACTTAAAGTAGTCTGGTTAAGGGACACTGTGGTTCAGGGGCTAAGACACGGAGCTTCTTTGTTGATCAGAAAGGTCAGCAGTTCGGCGGTTCGAATCCCTACCGCCATGTAATGGAATGAGCTCCTGTTACTTGTACCAGCTTCTGCCGACCTAGCAATTCGAAACCATGTAAAAAATGCAAGTAGAAAAATAGGGACCCCTTTGGTGGGAAGAAAACAGTGTTCCGTGCGCCTTTGGCATTTAGTCCTGCTGGCCACATGACCATGGAGATGTCTTTGGACAGCAGTGGCTCTTCTTTGGCTTTGTAACGGAGATGAGCACCGCCCCCTAAAGCCGGAAACGACTAGCATGTATGTGCGAGGGGAACCTTTACCTTTACCTAACCTGGTTAGAATCCCAGATGCCTGATATCTCCACCATTTCCCTTGGCACCTATCAGTCTCCAGCTCTTATTAGATTAATTTGACTTTACATAATTCTGATATTTTAACTACTGTAGGGAATATTTCCTCAACACAGAATTTCTATGAATTCTTGAAGGGAGATGACCGCTAAGGGAGAAGTTCCCACAAGAGATCGTAATGAAGGCCCAGCTCTGAAGGAAAACCTGGTCTACAGCAGTTCCCTGTTTTGGTACCCTCTCGCTCCAGAAATGCCTCAATATCCTTCCACATGTTCTGCACAGCCATCAAAAAGTGTCCTGTTCAAACTGCCCCTCAGTGGCTGATTGTTGATGTCGGATTTGTGGCTAAACATCTTGTATTGTCTATAGTTGCGGATCACTTTCATTAGTTTGCCTTTACAAATGGATGTTTTCCAATAAACAATCACATTTTCCAAGTTCTGCCCTATCTTGTCCTATTAAATATATTTTATAATATAATAAATGTAATATAATATAAAATACATTCTATTTTATTTTACATTATATTTTACATTCTATTCTGTTCTGTTCAAATCTATCCTATTGTATTGTATTGTATTCTACATTCTATCCTAACCTATATTTTATTCTATCCTAACCTACATTCTATTCTATTCTATTCTATTCTATTCTATTCTATTCTATTCTATTCTATTCTATTCCATTCCATTCCATTCCATTTTACCCCATTCCATTCCTTATTCTATTCTACTCTACTCTACTCTACTCTACTCTACTCTACTCTACTCTACTCTACTCTGTTCTACATTCTATTCTATTCCCTCTCCAAACTGGCCACAGGCCTATGATAGTCATCACTATAATACACATATAGATGAGGGGCACATCAGTATGTAATCAGTATTAGAGCATGCAATATCGCATTCATTAACAGTGAATTAACCGGTTGATGGCTGTTATTTTTCTCTCATTCTCGGAGGCCTCCCAGCTTCATGGGTAGAGTTTTGATAATATCTCAAAAATCTGGACTAGCGCTTTCAGATCGGTCCTATGCTACACCCTGAATAAAACCGAGCACGCACAGATCCTAAGCTTCTTGTGCATGCTACTCGTCTTCGCAACAAACAGCACATGTGTGCATATATCCAAGGACAAGAGGAATGTTTCAAAAGATCAAATGGTTCAAAGGAGCAAAACGCAGCCTGTAAGAACCAAGTAGCCACACACCGGCTAACTTTGCCAGGCACCAAATAGCACCCAACTGTCTGCTCTGCCGCCCTGGAGCCATTTCACTTGAGTGCTCAGTCTAATCCTGCCGAGGAAACCAAGAATTCAGGATGCACCAGCCTATGGATTGCCTTGTTTCATTGCATCCCATTTTCCACTAGAGGTCAGCCTTCTCCAGAATCCACCAAAAAAAAAAAACCCAGCCAGATTCCTTCTTCCCAAATGAAATTGGCTGTTATTTCCACTTTTGAGTTTCTTAACAAAGATTCCTTCAGAGCCACAAACTACAGTCTCACACCTCTTTTCCCTCCCCCTTGTTTTAGAGGAAAAAGAGAGCAAGGCATCCTGCTTATGAAAGAACCACTGTAAACCTTCTGGCTAAGGAGAAGAAAGGAGATTTGCCTGCGTCTAAAACTATACTTTACGTTCTTTTATGGGGTTGCCGCAGAGAGATTGCCTTGCAGCTGGCAGAGTCTCCCCTTCCTCCGTTTTCAAAAGGATATTTGGTTCTTGTTCAGCATCAGAGTGTGAAGATGTGGCAAGCTGGGCAAGCGAAGGTCACTTTCAAGAAGATTGTTGTCAAGAATGAGCTCTTCCAAGCATCCGAAGGCCTGCAGTCCTTCCAGGGATCTGCAACAAGGAAGGGGAAAACAAAAAACAAAACCAAAATGACCCTCTAGTCAATCCAAGAGCTTGATGATGAGCTGAAGTAAATATTATTATTATTATTATTATTTTAAAAAAAGGTTTGAAACGGAACCCAGAAGAAGAATTTGGGTTTCTGGCCTGTCAGGAAGGCTGAATGACAAGAATTAGTGGGGAAAAGGAGTGTCAAGGCTGCAACACATCGCTCACTTCCTGGCAGTATGAAAGATGGAGGTCGCTTAGTGAATAGCCAAGATCCCAAACCAAAAAAAAAAAGGTTCAGATATGAGCCCTGGGAGGATGAATTTGTCAACGTCTCGTGCCTTCAGGCACCCCAGCCCCTCCTGACCCCCAACCTTCATTCCCAAGACAAATAACTCTGTCACACTTCACCTTCATTCTCAGGACACAAATTTAAGTTGTCATCCATCATTTCTGACATGGAATATCATAGCCACTAACAATAATAAATTCAACTTCAGGAATTGTTCTCAGCAGCATTTCTCTCTCTCTCTATAGAAACACACACACCACACACACACACACACACACACACACACACACGTCCAGCTCCAGCCTTTTCTGCTAGCTTTTCAAAGGCACAAAAGAGTCAGCATTGGAGAAGAAATGCAGAATGACTTCACACCACCTAACGAAGAACAGATAATCCCTTCGCCTAACAAATAATTACCTGTGCACTCACGCCAACCTAGATCAGCATAACCCTTATTGAAAGAAGCAGGCAATATATATATATATATATATATATATATATATATATATATATAACTAGGGCAACACAACTCACTCTCAAGGGTTGTAAACAAAGGAGACTTGTAAATAAACAAAGCAGTCTTGGTAGAATCGTGGCAGGCCAGAATCCCCGGGTTTGACACTTTCCAAGGATGATGATTTCGGCATTAACTCGTGATTCCATCCGTGGCTTTGCGAGTTCCCACAGGCCGTGTGGGAGAAGCACCCCATCAATCAAATCAGAATCAGCATGTTATATGAAGCATGCACATCAACGCACATTTGCAACTTGGTCACCTACCCAACACCTAGTTCTGCTGAGAGGGGTTGACGTGACAGCTGAGCTCATCTGCCTACCAGGAAGGAGAATCACCACTTAATCTCTGTCTCCCTGTTTTATAGACAGTGATGGCTAAAGAAGATGGAGGAGGAGACTGTTTATTCACCACCCAGTGACATTATTTCCTCTCTTCAGCATCCTTCATCAAGGCCTACAGAAGACATTCTGTTCTGACCTAGGCTTCCCAAGATCACGAAGCAGAATCCTCATCCTGATAAACCTCCTTTTATTTAGGTTAAAGTGAATTCCTCTCCAGCAAAGTCCCGGCTAACAGTCTTTCAAGAGATTTCACAACTACAGACCTTTATCAGGCTTGGAGAGTTGCCGGGCCGATATCTTCCAAATGCCACACTGTAGCAGACAATACTTGGCAAGGAATCAGGAACAGATCTTCACCCAAATGAATTGAACTAATTGTCTCCTGCAAACACCATTCCCCTTTTGCTCCTCTTTATTCCCTATGGGAGGGGCCATTCACCGTCCACCTGTGCCTTTACTCCCAAGTCGACCCTTAACTGTTCCTTCCCCTGGCAGCTCTGTGCATGCACACACTGGGAACAGGCTCCAGCTGTTCTTCTACCCCACTGGTGTCCGACTCCGAAGGTAGCTGATAACTATTGGATGGCCCTGGTCCCATCTTTGCCTCCAATGCAGAGCCTTCCCCAAACTCCTGGACTGGCCCATGTTCCTCCCCAACCTCTTCACTGTCCGAGTCTGCCTCCAGCTCCACTGGCCAATGGCAGGCCACAACACATTCTCCATTAGGAGTATACAAGAGAGACCACCAACCACGGTGGCACCTCCCCTCTGAAATCCCATGTGCTACTTTGACAGAAGAAGCCACCAATGGGCCAGAAAGTGAAATGGAAGTAAATGAAGATCTGGATTTAAAAGGTTGGAACAGTAGAAAGACAAAAGGAACCAAGGAGGCTATTGCACACAGGAGAGAGTAAAGGAAACTTAAAACAAAATTTATTTTTCTAAGGGACGTGAATTATGCTGTCTATGGGAATGCAGGGAGAAACATCTTTCAAAACTAATGATTAAGGAGATGACTCAATTAGTATGTCAAAAAGGACAGATACATGTGTACATAAAAACCATTGTAGATGTACACAGAGACAATAGGTATTTCATGACAACTCAATTTTTTTGGGGAAAAGAAAAGAATACAAAACCACTGAGTTCCAATGAAGAGAGGAGTACGCTTAAAACTGTAACACCAGGATTATAATTAAGTTATATTTTCAATTAACAGAATAACATACTTGGAAGGGACCTTGGAGGTCTTCTAGTCCAACCACCTGCTCAGGCAGGAAGCCCTATACCATTTCAAACAAATGGTTGTCCAATCTCTTCTTAAAAACTTCCAGTGTTGGAGCATTTACAATTTCTGGAGGCAAGTTGTTCCACTGGTTAACTGTTCTGTCAGGAAATGTCTCCTTAGTTCTAGGTTGTGTCTCTCCTTGATTAGTTTCCATACAAGCTTCTTGTCCTGTCCTCTGGTGCTTTGGAAAATAGGTTGATTCTATTAATTTTGGCTTATTCCTGATTAAATTTGGGTTATAATTTGTCATTGTATTTAACTGAGTACAATTAACCCAATTGGCATCTATTCTTACTGCCACATTACAAAGTTGAGTTTGAGGACTCTGGTGCCCTGATTCCAGATTACAAACACTAATGTATGCAAATGGATTGCAACGATTCATTTTCAAAAAGGTCATTTTTTAAGGTAATATAGAAGATGACCCAGCTGAGCCTGAGGGAGGCATCAAACGTATCATCAGTTTAGAGTCTCTATGATCCTGTAAGAGATCTAAGTCCAGACCCCCTTGAAGTCCATTGACTCTTATCTGGTACCAATTCTAATGTCAACCTATTTTCCAAAGCACCTGAAGGCCAGACAAGGAACAATGGATGGAAACTGAACAAGGAGAGATTCAACCTAGAAATAAGGAGGAATTTTCTGACAGTGAGAGCAATCAACCAATGGAACAGAAGTTGCATTCAGAAGTTGTGGGAGCTTCATCAGTGGAAGCTTCCAAGAAGAAACTGGACTGCCATCTGTCAGAAATAGTGGAGGGTCTCCTGCTTGGGTGGGGGTTGGACTAGATAACCCTCAAGGTCCCTGTTAGGAATAACATAGGTTACCTAACGTAGTTTGGGTAAAATAATATATATAAACTATGATAGTGAGTTTAAGTGTGTGTCAATTTAACTGCAAAGCAATGTAATTTTGGGTGCGGCTGTAAAGTGCCATAAGAGGGAGCAAGAGAACTGGATTGATTGCTGGCTTACTGGATTGCTTGCTGACGATGATGGGTTGATGGTTTGATAACTGCGTGTTCTCTGCTGTTGCTGAAGGAAGAAAGGAGGTTTGACTTCTTCATATCTCTACTGCGAAGAGATATATTACTGGACTGATATTTGTAAGTTTAATGACCTCTTTTTCGACACTGGACTTTGCAACTGAATAATCCCCGGATGGACTGAAATAGTGAATAATGTATGGACTGTTTGACTATGCTAAAAATCTTGCTGGAATAAACTATTTAACTAGCACATTGTATCTGTTTTACTGAGTGTAAGCTACAAAAACGTTTGTCTCACATATTTGCCTGCCTGCCTGACTTCCGTGCAGGTTCTGCTAGGGTGTATATCCCTAACAGTCCCTTCCAACTCTGTTATTCTGTTTATATTATTATACTCTCTAAAGCAGGAGTCGCCAACCTTTTGGACCTCAGGGACAACCAAACTCATAATTTTAAATCCTGCAGACCAGAGAACCTGGGAAAATCCCCAAAAAAGTCTGCAGGAAAATTCCCCACCCCATTTTCCTACTGATTGATCATTTTTTATTTGGGATCGCAGGATACCGTCTCAAACTCCATTCTCAGGGGGGGAGAGAGAAAGAGAGAGACTTTTGGCTTCATGCAAGGAAAACAGCAGAAGCAGCAGAAATCTTTTTTCTCTCCCCCAAACTCCGCCAGAAATAAGTCTTTGTGAGACTTGTTGCACTGACGCAGCCTCTTGGAGCAGGATGCCTTGCAGGGTCCCAAAGACTAATTGGCAGAGTTTGGGAGAGAGAAAGAAAGACTTTTGCTACTTTCCTTGCGTGCAGCCAAAAGCAGAAGAAGAAAGAAGTGGCCAGACGAGGCGCATGGGGCACATAGGACAAGTTCCCCCCATCCTTTCCCCCCTCCCCTCAATACCTCATGTTGTTCGCAATGCAAGCAATGCAAGCCTTGTGTTCCCACGGGCCATGTGGGTGGCGCAGCCTTGTGTTCCCGCGCAGCCTGGATTAATTGCTTTGGGGGTGACATTTCTCTGCGGACCACCAAAATTTTCTCGCAGACCACCAGTGGTCTCTGGCCCACTGGTTGGTGACCACTGCTCTAAAATATTCTAAACTTTTTTTTGTAAATCACTTAGAAGAACATTCACTCCCCAAAATTACTTTTAGATTATAACAGACTTTTATTACATAGTAATGCCCAGCCTTTCTCTATAAAATGTCCGTGGTATGGTTATACCCAATATTCAGGATATTACTAAATAATAGTTGTTGGGGTGGTTGTTATAATTATTATTTTCACATTTTCAAGATCAAGTTTCAGGAAAGGCCAACAGCCGCCCAGCGCTACTGAACTTTTGGGCATACCAAAGAAAATGACCTTTGCTGGGGTTCAGTTTCAAAACAGACACCATTATTGAAACCTCTTATACAAATATGCAAATATAATACCCTTAAGAGCACCTGCGAACCATCAGCAAGATGGTCAAAAGAGCAAAAAATTAAAAAAAAACCAAAACCTCCCAAAATGGCTGGACAGATGGCACACAACCTCACTCAAAAGGAGAGAGAGAGAAAGAAAGAGGGCATCTGGTAACACATTTGAAACAAGAGCAGGGAAAACCGTTTCCCAAATCTTTCTTCAAATCTAGTCGGCATCTGATTTTTTTTTGAACCTCTGGACTTTTTATCCACTTCAGCTTCCTGTCTCCTGTGCAGAGATCAGCCAAATGAACAAGTGTTCGCCCCAGAGGCTGTGAAACTGGCTGCGGAGTAAATGCTTTGGCAGAGAAACGTTTTTCAAGGAGACTGGATTAGCATCCCTCCTTGGCTGGATATTAGGAATCTGCTTTTCCGGCATGTGGGATATTTCTGTTATTAACAACTCTCTCCCAAAAAACAACAACTGCGAAGCTTACAAGCAGAGGGTCTGCCTGTCTTCCTGTCCTTCCTGTCCTCCTGCCTGTCTTCCTGCCTGCCTGCCTTCCTGCCTGCCTGACTTCCTGTCTTCCTGTCTGTCTGCCTGCCTGCCTGTTCACCTGCCCATCCATCCATCCATCCATCCATCTACCTATCTATCTATCATTTGTCTGCCTGCCTGCCCGCCTGTCCGTCCATCTGTCTATCTATCCATCCATGCGTCTATCTATCCTCTGTTTGTCTGCCTGCCTACCTGTCTGTCTGTCTTAGTGAATTAAAAGCAGCAAGGCCCCAGTTCAATGCTGTGAATGGTATCCCGGCTTAGGGAGCGGTGTCAGTTAGACTGTCTCCCTGGTTGGCTTAAAGGCTAATCAGCCTCACTCAAATGCCTCGCAGGTTGATCTCTTCCCTGCTCTAATGACAGGAAAGCTGCCCATTATCTCGCCCACAGGTACCATCTCGGTTACCTCGTTGCCAGCCTCCCTCCTACCCACCCACCCACCCCCAGAGGGGAGCCAACGGTTGCCAAGAGATTTCCCTCCGTGCTGTTTCCAAAGTCACATCAAAATGACAAAACATCACAACGCATTCAGCTCTGCCTGATTCCGGGCAGAAAGAACTTTACGTTTCCACTGTAATTAACCCTATCCTCGTTAAGATAATTATGATCAAGCTCTCTGTCACAGCTAATAGCGCAGCATCATTGCCCCATGGCTCACGCTTTGCCCTCATTAGCTTACAAAAACACTGTGCTGAGCAAGCAAAGCAGTTCCAACCTTCGTAGGGATTTAGGGACTCCTGCAGCCAAAGACAAAAAAAAAGGCCTGTCGAAAGCAACCATCTTCCAAAGCTTTCTGCCTGCCTTGAAGTCCTTGAACGAATCGGGAAGTCGGCCTTCTGTGTAGCCGCATCTCATAATTGGGTCATCATCGGAAGTGGGATTCTTTCTTCGCTTCACTTTTATCCTGAAGTAGTCTTGGAGGTGGCAATTTCTTGGGGAGGCCTGTACGGCAAACGGCAATCGAGACCCTGTCCTGGTGTGCCAAATTGGGCAGAGGGGTTTTGATTTCTGTATAAGTGGAGGGGTGTGTGGTGGAAAACCAGCCAGGAGACGGTGTTAAATTTAAAAAGGAAGCAGAACTGTAAGTAGTGTTATTTTTTAAAAAAATAATAATCAAAAGGATATAAACTTCCTCATTATTCAGCTCCAATCAGCCTAGATGGGTAAACATTGATTACATTTATATATTATGCCCCTGACACTTAAGGGAAGATCTAAAATATTTAACACTTTCCAAAGTTGTGGTCAGGGGCCTTTCTCAGAACGAATTTCTGCTTCTTGTCCCTAAGCGGCCAATTCCCTACACTGAGTGAATACATATCTACATTTTCTTTCTGAAGCACTTTTTTAAATTAAAAAACATGCTTGAGCAGAGGGATGAGATGGAGAAGGTAATGAAATGGGCAAAATTGCCACCCATGTGCATTGCTCTTTTAATGCTCTCAAACTAGTTGCCAAAATCACATTTGGCATATGGGAAAAAAATCCACTGTCCTTGAGAAAAACTGATCGCCAAAGCCAACTCGCCATGGCCGTCTTGTTCAAGCCAACTTGCCCCAGCACAACTCACCAAGGCCAACTAGCCATGGCCAACTTGCCCTGGGGCAACTCACAATGGCCAACTCGCCCTGGGACAACTTGCCATGGCCAACTTGCCCCAAGAAAACTTCCATGGCCAACTTGCTTCAGCACAACTTGCTATGGCCAACTCGTCATGGGACAACTTGCTGCAAGAAAACTTGCCATGGCCAACCACTCAGTCTTTGTATTATGTTATTTTGGTTAAGGTAATAAATAATTGTGGTGTTGGAGAAGACTCTTGAGAGTCCCTTGGACTCCAAGGAGATCAAATGGGTCAATCTTAAAGGGACTCAACCCTGACTGTCCTTTGGAAGGACAGATCCTGAAGCTGAAGCTCAAATATTTTGGCCACCAAAAGAGAAGTGAGGACTCCTTGGAGAAGACCCCAATGTTGGAAAAGATGGAAGGCAAAAGGAGAAAGGGAAGGTAGAAGATGAGATGGTTGGGTAGTGTCATCGATGCAATGGACATTATTTTGGGCAAACTCCAAGAGACAGTAGAGGACAGTGGCATGTTGTAGTCCATGGGGTCATAAAGAGTTGACTGAGCAACAGCAAAAACAATAATAGCAAACAATCAATTAAACACTGGAATGCAAAGAAACAAAATGCTATAGAAAAAAATAAAAAGGTACAGAGCAGATTTGCCTGGGAAAGACAAACTCCTAGGGTTTACTATGCTGGGGCTTTCCAGAAAGGGAACAAGGTTTGTTTTTGGTTTTCAGAGACAGCTTTTCAGAGAACCCAGATTTATGTATGAATGTTGGCCAGTAGAAATAGATCTTGGCTACTAAGGTTGCATTGTGTAGTTTGACAGTAAAGCTCCACTTTCCTGGACCATGAGGCAACAACAATAATGTAATAATGATGATGATGATGATGATCATCATCATCATCATAACAACAATAACAACTGCCTATATACTCAGATGACAAATGCTAACTTAACAGCTCTTAGGTCCTTAGTTAGGAGTTGAACTGTTAAGATTTTATCAGACCCAGACTGTGAAAATAATAATAATAATAATAATAATAATAATAATAATAATAATAATAATAATAATAATAATAATAA